TCTCTCTCTCTCTCTCTCTCTCTCTGTCTGTGTGTATGTGTGTGTATGTGTGTGTGTGTGTGTGTGTGTGTGTGTGTGTGTGTGTGTGTGTGTGTGGCCTGTGCCCTTGCATGCATGTCGCATCACGAACAAGCGTGTGTGCAGCCCAGAGCACGGGAGCACATCAAGAACAGTGGAGCATCAATGTGATTGAGGGCATAACCAAATCCTGTCCGCCTCGTAGGGCTCGAGGGGGAGAAAAGGAGCAGAAGAAGAGGAGGAAACTACAATGAAGCAGCACAAGAAGGGAGTGCGAAGCCAAGAGCACAGGAGCACCAATCTTACGGAGCGCATGGGCAAGATCACTCTCTCTTGTAGGGCACGGAGGGAAGAAATGGAGCAGAAGAAGACACATAGTTGTAAAGAAGAAGGAATGGCGACAAAGACAAAGAAATGACCATAAAGAAGAAGAAATGATGATGATGACGATGATCAAGAAGAAGAAATGATGATGATAACGATGATCAAGAAGAAGAAGAAGAAGAGCTCTCAACACGTCCTCTTCCTTTGCATGGGCAAGATCACTCCCTCTTGTAGGGCACGGAGGGAAGAAATGGAGCAGAAGAAGACACAGAGTTGCAAAGAAGAAGGAATGGCAACAAAGATAAAGAAATGACGGTAAAGAAGAAGAATGACGATGATGACGATGATCAAGAAGAAGAAGAAGACGAGCACTCAACACGTCGTCTTCCTTTGCCAGGCAGCAGCGGTGATGATTCTGGGGATGGCGAGCAGGGTCTGAGAAGGGGTGTGATGAAGTTGACCAGAGCAGGGGCACAATGGCGGCACGACAAGGCGACAACGACGACACCACGAAGACGAGCACAACGATAGATAGCAGGCCAAGCCAGAGTGTCTGGCAGGGACATTCAAAATCAAATGCCCCCGCCACATATTCTTCATTGGCTTGCGAAAAGAGGGAAAATTTAAGCCGTCAGTGAGCAAAGACCGTCAGCTCAGATTTGCCCGAAAGGATAGTCGGACCTACCAGTCTCTGGTTAGGCCCAAATTTTGTTTTTGTGAACCTCCAAGGGCCACCTGGAATGCATCGGGAACCATTCTGGCCGGGGGTGCAACTGGCTGCCTGGCCCAAGCTGGCTGGCCTACCACCCATGCTGCATGGGTAACGGCGCAGTGTCACACCCTAAAGTTCACAGGTTGACCTATCCTCCCGCTTCGCTGCGGTCATTCTGTTGAACTTGAAAGTAGCCGATATTTCCCAGTTATATGCATCACAGCCAAAACTTCAAAGGTCCACCTATTTGAGGGGGGGGAAGGCGGGCAGTGTTGTTGAAAGTAGCAGACATGTCATCCACATGAATGCCACAATTCCACCTACTGCAGGGAGGGAGGAGGGGGAAGGTTTCCCTGGACCTCGCATAGCCCCCTATCCCTGTGCACATAGTTCTGTTGAGAGTACCAGACATTTCGTTTGTAATCACAACCAAAACACCACAGGTCCACCTCATGGGGGGGGTGTAATTTGGTCGAATTACACCGAAACTTGCCCAGGCATTTTGCCTATCATTCTGTAGAAAGTTCCAGACATTTCCTCCGTCCATATGCCACACTGTACCACAACCAATACTTCACAGGTCCAGTGATGGGGGGTGGACTGCCTGTAATTCTGTGGCAAGTACCAGACTTTCCTCTTGTATATGTTACAGTCAAAACTTCACAGGTCCACCTATCATGGGGGGGGGTTGCAGCTGTATGTAATTGGGCCAAAAGTAATGGAGATTGGCCCTATATATATATCGCATCCAAAACTTGACAGGTCCAGCTAAGAGGGGGTGGTGGTGGTTATCTATGGTTCTGCCAAGAGTACCACACATTTCCTCCATGTATATGTCTGTAATGACCTGCAAAAACACAGACTGAGAACACTGCTGATTTCTGGGATTTGCCGCTGGAATGTATGCCTTGCTGAGATTCCCGCATTCTGCTGTGATTTCTAAGTCTGTGTGTGTGTGTGCCTGCTGAGTGCGTGTCGGCCTGAGTGTGTGTGTGACCCGCAAGGGTACTTGTCGGTTGAGAGGCCCCGCAGGGCCCGTACTTACCTGTGGCCGTGACGTTCAGGGTTGCAGCGGGAAAAAAACACTCAAGTAGGTGGGGTAGGCCCGTGACACTTAGAGCAGCGGGAAAAAAACACTCAAGTAGACGGCAGGCCGGTACCACTCAAGTAGTGGTCGAAGTGTCAGGCACTCAAGGCCAAGCAGAAGAAGACAAAAGTTGGCATTTTTTTAGGCCCAGTAGCGGTAGGCTAGAGGTAGGCCGGTACCAGTCCAGGTAGCCTGAGTCTAGGGCCTTTACGGACAATATCAGAACCTGCAATGATGTTTCCCTTCAAAAGGGAGGAGTTACCGGTTGTTGGGAGGTCGCTCGGCCTAGGAAGTGACTGCCCAAGAGGCAAGTAGGCCGCTATATCTTCGGGAGGAGCAAGTAGTTCCTCCTCGTTTGTGGTGTGCAAGGATTGGCGACATACTGCTGGAGCCAAGTGCTGGACTTGGAGCGCTGCCTGCAGGAGGAGAGCAGCTGGGCGCTCAGCCTGGCTATGGCGAGCAGCCCAGCCTGAGGAGGAGAAAGAAGGGGGTCGAAGGAGGAGAGTGGCGAGGTACCTACCTGGCTATGGTGGACACCATCTTCATCGCCTTGATAGGCACTGCATCTGGAAGGCCGCAGTTGGGGTAGTGCCGCAACAAGGAAGCTCGAGGCAGAGTCAGGCATGGCGGCCTGATGAGCAGTGACATAGCTGCTTTGTGTTGTCCTTTGGAGAGGAGGGCAAAGCCCTTAGTAGTCCATCATAGCTTTGGTATGTGAGAGGAGGAAGAAGGGGGAAGTCATGACTATGATGGACCTGTTGTTGTGTTGGCCGTAAGAGGGAACTTCGGATATTGATTCTGGTTCTTCTTCTTCTTCTTCTTCTTCTTCTTCTTCTTCTTCTTCTTCTTCCTCTTCTTCTTCTTCTTCTCCTCCTTCTCCTTCTTTTTTTTTCTTCTTTTCTCCTTCTTTCTCCTTCTTTCTCCTTCTTTCTTCTCCTTATGCCTCTCCTTCTGCTTCTCCTTCTGCTTCTCCTTCTGCTTCTGCTGCTGCTGCTGCTTTCATGGCATTGTCTTTGCTTGTGAATTTACACTTTGGAAATGACCAGGATAATTCCGAATTAGGTTAGGGCTAACCTAATCTCGGATCAGGGTTGGAAGTTAGGGTTAAGAGGGGCAGCGAGGTATGTGGATGCTGCCCCCACCTGGTTAGGTCATGTAGGTTCGACATCAGACCTAACCAGGTTGCTTGAGTGATTGAATGGGGTGGCGAGACACAAAGGAGGCTGATTGGATTAAGCGAGAGGGGGCAGAGAGTGAGAGGTATTCGCACTTCAAGAAGACATTGAGGTGTGCTGGTTGCGACTTTGGTCTTCAACATCGGCGGAGGATCCGGCGTTGTAACATGGGTGTAGGAAGGCCCTCTTAGTCATGGTAGGACACTTAGCGTAGTGGTAGCTAGGCGTCAGGAGGACCTATGAAAGAGGGGGGTGAGTCGTTATTCATCTTTTGAGGTCGGGCCTCACAGGTAAGTGTCGTGTGACTTGGGTATGCCCATGGTTGGTTGCTTGTTGCATCATGGCCTGTTGGGGTGTGCTGGTCTCTTTTCCTCTTCTCGACGGTCTTGGTTGTGTGTGTGAGCATGTGGATTGCTTTCTCACCTGAGGGGTGGATGGATGATGTATCTTGTTCTCAATGACATATCTTTCTACAGTGCATTGTCTTTTCACTTCTGAACGGTTGTAGGAATAGGTTCTTGCTGAAAGTTGTCTTTTCCTTTTCAGTACGGTAGAGGAAGTTTGGGACTGTCTTGGGACCCCTTTCTGATTCGTCCTGATCCATCACTTGCTTGGGACCCTTTGGGACTCAGTGGGACCGGCCCAGTCCCAAATCTGTTGTCGTCAGTGCAT